AAAAAAAAAAAGATGGAAAAACCCTAATCTCCGTGGTAGGAAAGCCTAATGAATCAAAATGTGTATGTTTTGTGGAACCTTAAGCAATAGCATATACAATTGTCTCGGCTTCAGTAGGGCGCCACATGGATTTCTGGACAAACAACAATCCTTCTTTATCCCTAGAGTAAGTCGAGCGAATCTCCCACTTCATAGACTTGAAAATGCTCTCAAGTTCATTAAGGGTCTCAACATTGTCCCGGACAATGAGCTTTCCTTCGGGTCTCAATATTCGGTCAACCTCCGCTACAAGAGCCATGAAATTACACCTGTTGACCCCAAGATACAGAATTATTAGAATAAAGTACAGACACATTAGTCGTCTGAGTTAAAGACACTAGCAGTTACTGAAATTTCACGTTGATTGTTCCAATTTGGTTATTCGTCCATGTCCATTAGTTTGACAAACAGAAAACTGACATAGCAGTCTAGTTGATGGCCAATTAACGAGACTGTCAAGTCTTCCTTTCTGTTAGTCAGACTAAAGGAGAGTGACCAAACTGAGACAAAGTTTAAGTTTAATAACCAACATGAAATTTTGCTAGCAGTTTAGTGACCACCAGCGAATTAAGCCCCTCATCAAACCACTGGAATATATACGCACTTCTTCTTAATTTTTGAGAAGAGATGATCTGCATGGAGAAGATCGTAAGATCTTGGGTATGTACTGAAGGATTCACACCAGTCATGATAAATTCCAAATAGACCTCGTTCGTATATAATAGGTAGTGTATCTGGAGCATCTACGGAGATAACATTCACAACCCAAACATTCAGTTCTTTCAGAGCAGCAGCCAATCTGCAAGGAGGGCCAAAAGAAAAGCCAAATAATGATTGAAAGCTGCTTTGATGACAAAAGTAAGGGCAATAAATATGCAGGGTTTATGTTTACAAACAAGAGATAATAAAAATTATGATTAAGAGCTGACATATCAAATACTCAGCAATGAAAAATGCAAGGTCAAAAGGGTAAAAAACTCAACAAGTTCACAATCAATTGGCTCAAGTCCAAAAATTTCCACCAGAAACGAGAATGAACAGTGCAATTAGCCATAAACCTAAATTATAAGGGTATTATTGGGTAGCATATCCAACAAAAAAAAAGGT